TCCTCTCTCTCTCTCTCTCTCTTTCTCTCGCTCGCTCGTTCGAGAGATCTTTTCTCCACTACCAACGTTTACGAACACACGCGCGCGTTTACATCGTCCCTTTCTCTCTCTCTCTCTCTCCTCCCTTTCTTTCTTTCTTTCTTTCTCTCGTCACGATTATTCCGCACAAGAAGTAGCACGTATAATGTGTGTATATATATATATATTTACATATAAATGTATATATATATATGTATATATGCGAATAAAGAAGGCTTCTGGTCCGATGCTGGTGTCTCGTCTGCCTCTTTTCCACCACCCTGTGTATCCCGCATCCAGCGAAAATGCGTCGTTCCTGGCGTCGGTGGAATCACCGAGCGGTGTTACGACGATTGATTATCCGCGAGTGCGGAAGGGGCGGCGGGGTGGAGGGCTGCACCGTGGGGCCATCATCGCGATTCATGGCTCCGCAGCAACGACACCCTACCATCCGCCGATGTATAATTCGCGCGTGGGGGGTGAAGATTGCATTCTCTCCGCTTTCCCTGCGTGATGCCTTTTTTTGGCGGGCTGCGTGGCGCTACCATCGGCGACTTCCCTCTTACACTTCCCTCCCTGCCTGGGACCACCACCACCACCACCACCACAACCACCACCACAACCACCACCGCACCACGATATGTGTGCCACCTGCACCAGGAGGAGAGATAGTCCTCTTTTGGATCAGCTGCTTTTATTATATCACCTCCTCTTCCTATCGATCTCCCTCCCTCTATCTCTTTCCCTTTCGAAGAAAGAAAGCGATGAGTCGTCTCTCCTCCTCCTCCTCCTCCTCTTCTTCTTCTTCCGATCCTGACACGTGAGTCTGATCGATCCTCGCCACCCCTCTCGATTATCCAACGTGGATTATAACCACCACGTACCAACCACGTGTTCTTCCAGATTACTCTCCCTCCCTCCTCTCTCTCTCTCTCTCTCTGTCTATCCTCGAGATTAGTCGGATCGCGTTGAATTCTGCGAGGCACACAACACGTGGTGGGAGACGAAGAAGTGCGGTGAAACGAGGTGAAAATCCCGTGACAGCGTCCCGACGCTACGCTCGGCCTCCCCTCTTCGAGAACGCTCGTCCAGCAGCTGATCCACACGACGCGGCTTGGGTCGCGTGCATCGAGTTGTGTGCACGCGTGCCTCGAATGTAGGAAGCGCGACCATGCGGCTTTGTATATACGATGCTCGGGCCAGGCGATCGGCCGGGTACTAATGCAAATTAGAAATCTGTTTAAGAGGGTAATGATCAATACATAACCGGCGGCGGCGGCGGCGGTGGTGGCGGCGCCGGCAGGCGCAGACGCTGTGCGAAGAGAGTCATTCAATAAGTGTTATACGTGCCTCGGCTGTGGTGAAGGGGGAACGACTGCACGAGGGGTTGCAACTACCCCGTGACGTGCTACCCCCTATGGTCGTCACCGAAACTATCCGTCACAAGCCCCTGATACGCTGTGAAACTGTCGACATGCTTCTTTATCAACGGACGGACCGGCGTTTCCTTTTATCGATATGGAAGGAAGGGCGCGCGACGCTTGTCCCATCCGTAGCTGGATGGATAAAACTGGTTTCCATGTCGTTGTAGTGGATAAAAGGTTTCACCAATTTCCTTTCTCGAAGCATCCGCAATAAATTATCGACTGGATAACCTCCTCGGTTGATTCTTCCTCGAAGAACACGTGTGTATATTCCGGCCAATGATTATCGATCGAATCGATCGGTTGGAAATACCTTTTCGATCAATCGAAGGTAACGATTTCGGAGCTGTGCTCGTTCTGGGGGCGGCGGGTCGATATTTATGTCGGGACGTGACCGAGGGAAAGGAATGGATGGGGAGAAGGGCGATGGAGTTACTGAATGAGTCGTGTCGGTCGATTCGTCGAAAGGGGTCCAGGTGTCGCTGAAATGTCGGCGGAAAAACGAACCTGTGATTGTGATCCAGGGTGGAATGATCCGTCTTCGGCGCCGAGGAAACCAGTGCGTGGGACGCCAACGCGTGTGCGTGCGGACTTAATCCAGGATGAGGTGGCATCAGGCCCGTCGGCGAAAACCGGTAGAGATCACTGGAAAATTTAGTAAAAATTTACAACGTTAGACACAAGTATGCTGGATCAAATAATAATATGATTTCGTGACGATAATCGAGCGGTTAAAATTAAAAATTCCAATCTTTTGAAGACGAATTATTGCATTATTGGAAAATAATATAATTCTCGAATAGATTGGACGAAAATCGAAACTGTCCATACGATAGAACTCGTCGTGTAGAGAAACGCGGAGTTGAGAGAGTAACAGAAATTAGAGTGTTTGAATGAACTTGACAAATTCGATCACCTACTAACCTTGGTAAACTAGAACTTGTGATGGGCAAACTCGTGGGATACGGACTTCGGAAACCAGTGCTTGCCGGGGAAATGGGGTACATGCTCGGTGTGTGCCTGAAAACGAATTGTTGGTCAAACAGAGAGGCAGACGCCTGAAACCAAGTCTTCGAATTTGTTATTGTTAACCAAGTCCTTCTCAAATATTTTCTCCTCGATTATAATATCTGTTTGAAAAGGAGAATATTTAACAAATAATAAAACAATCTCTGTCCTTTTCACCGATCCTAGAATTGATATATATATATATATATATATATATCAATCCTCCAAATCTCAAAAGATCAAGCGAAGCTGAAATTTTCATCGACCTAAAAATTTCCTCCGTCAAAAAAAAAAAAAATATTATAATCCTCGAATTGCGAAAAAACTAAAATTCTCTTTCCAATTTCCTTCGAAGATGATAACCCTCCACTTCGAACGCGGACGAAATCGCCGGGGAAAAGCCGCGGTTCCGCCCCTCCTAATTGAGAAGAACGGGCCTAATCACCCGTGGAAAATCTCAATTTGAGACGGTTCGAGCAGAAAGCAAATAACAAGGAGGGAGGGAGGGAGGGAGGGAGGGAGGCAGAGCTTGAGGCGGTGCAAGAGGGTCGGTTTCTCCTCTCTTGGTGCGGTCAGCGCGTTATACAAGCCGGTGTACAACGCGACGGCGTCTAATAGAGCGGAACTGAGAGGATGACCGAGGAAACGTTTTAGCCGTGATTCGGGAAAACGAGACCCGAATCGAGAAATTCATTGGTCCCCCCATCCCATTTTCTTTACTTTCTCATCGGCTGAAAGGAGGATGAAGGAAGAAGGGGTTGAGAGGAGAAGTCCCAGGAGAGGGAGTCTAAATAAAAATCGCGATTTATCCTGTGGTCGAGTGTCGCCGGGTTCGAGGGTTGAATCGTTAGTACGCGAAAGGAGGAATTAACGACTGCTTGAGAGAAAAAAAATCGAACGTTTCTCATGTAAATCGGCCCACTTCTCCCTCGTTTATCGGGTTTTATTTGAGACCGTGTTTGGCTATTCAATTCCAGTTTTTCTCTCCCTCTCTCTCTCTCTCTCTCTCTCTCTCTCTCTCTCGTTCGTTACTACGTACGTACGTA